AGAAACAGCGACATAACTACCACTTCAAACATCATATCACCTCCTGATAGTATGACAGGGGAAGAAGTGTATTCCCTTTGATTTCTCAAGCTACGTATCGGAAGACAGAACAGACTTGGAAATATCAATTTTGCCCAAACTAGGAGGATCTGTGTCCAGACTGTCACATCCCAGATCCATGAACTTCTCATCTTTACGTACACAAAAGAAGATCAGGTAAACATAATATTCAATATTCATTCAGTTTGAAGACCCCATGGTTTAGACATCCTGCCAAGATAAAAATTTATAAATAGCTATTTCATTATCCATCGAGGTATAATTTTGTAAATAATGACAAAATTATACAATCAAATTTTGATGACAATATAAATTTATTCAAGTCTATCAATTTACAATAACAGACTAACGTCAACTAATTAAATAAATGACCGTTATTACAGTGACTCAAATATATGGGATAACTTTGGATATGATTAGAAAGTGTTCAACGAATTGCTTAAATAAAACATGTATAACTGTTTAAGAACCAAAATCGTCCTAGAACATTCTGGATGGATAAATCATACAAAGCTAGTATTAGCGGAGAATCAAAATATACTTCTGGAATCTACCGTCTGGAAAACAAGTATGTAGGTACGACAAGAATGAAACAAATATTTCGCTATAATTTCAGAATTTTACGGTGGCTTGGAGTGAGAGGTTGGAATGGCCATGATAAGCTGGCGTAATATTTTAGTGTTCCCCGAGTGGGTACAATCTAGATGGGGTGTTTAATTTTTACAGAGATATTCAAGAGGGATCTTTATAAACTCGCTCACTAGCTCCAAATAGTATTTACAATTTCAAAATTGTAGGACTCGACTTATAATTGAGACTAAGGCGGGAAAGATATGGAGTGGTTTCGTTGAGATAAAATCACATAATTTCTACTATATTATGTTCACAGAATATTTATGTTCATGATATTATATCCCCATCTTGTACACTCATCCTCTGTGAGCAGTCACAGCGAACATTATGCAAGTACTCTGTAGACCTTTCTCACAGGTACAGACATCCGGGGATAATTTTAAATAAATTTAAACAGTTTATTTCTTTTTCACTCTATTAACTTACCTTTTATACAGTGTTATACAGTGTTATACAGTGAACGTATTACACGCCCTGCATTGGGTAGGTTAAACCAAATAGATATGCCCCCTTGTGTAAGACGTGTTAAACCACTAGGCGCAGGCCCTTATAACATACTCCCAATTATAACATGACTTACTGTCTGACAGAGACAACATGTATTTTCCTTCTGAAATTAGCTGATCATCCAATAGTTTACTGTATTTCAGTGCTGTGGGAATGTATTATTTCTAGACGATGAACTCATCTTTACATTATTATGGTATCTGCCAAATAGAGTGCCGGAGGAGATGACGTTTTAGATAGAGTCAAATTTAACTTGGAGTCAGTAAACAAAATGTATAATTATTTACTGCTAGTGTTCGCTTACGTTAGTGGTAGACAAGAATGAAAATACAGTTATCATTTTAAAAACATGCTAAAATAATTGAAAAATTACTATTTTACAGAATTTGAACAATGTTCATTTACCTTACAAGACATATTTATAACGTACGAAATGTGGCGGTTCTCCGAAAATTTCGCCATATTTTCGGACCGCCAAAATTTCGGTCGTCGTAATATAATCCGTCGCATTATCTTTTAGCTTATTTCAATGACTGTGCCTTCACTGCTTTATTTTGTTTCTAAAAAGTAATATCAAGTAAAATAAATAAATAAATTCTGGCATCTTGGGACAAATTATCACCACACCAATGACGAATTGAATGTCAAGCAATACAGTTTAAATTTGCATTAAAATACATGTATGTGTTAACATGAAAGTCTTACAATCTTAATACAGACTAAGTTTGAACATGATTTTACCGAATTTCAGAAATTTCCTTACTGCTTACTGTCACAAAAAATGATGAAAAATACCCTTATTTTCTGTGACGTCCGAAATTTGACGGTTTTTGTTCAATTTCGCCATATTTTCGGACCGCCAAAATTTCGGTCGTCGCAAATTGGTCCGCCACAAAAAAGTCTTGTAAGGTAGTTAAAGATTCCGAACAAGAATCAAATTTTTTATTTTATACAATTTTTGTTATTTAAGATATAAATCTGCTGCCAGTCAAAATAATAACATACTTATCTAAAAATATCAAACAATATCTGAATTCTAAATCATTATGAACACAACTATTTTTGGTAAGTAAAAAATAATAATAATATAAAGATTCCGAACTCGTTAACGGGAATAAAGTTTTTTTTTCTATTTTTATTTCATTCACTTTTCATAATTACTTGTTTTAAAATCAATCTGATGCTTGCCAAAGCCCCTGAACTCTCTTTTAATAATATCATCTATTCTGGGTATATATGGCTGATGTTAGAAGAGGTCCAGATTTGCCTTTCCTTGCTGGTCACCAGTCAGCACTGATCGAGCGATTTAAAAGAGTTGAAAACCAGCTCTTTCTTATGATGAATATTCAGACACCCCCTATTGAGAAATACGGCCTTTAGCATGCACCGAAGCAACATATATGATATAGTAGGTTAACATTTAACAATGCTAGGAAGTCTTAACTTTACTGATGAAATTACTATGGGATCGTCCACATATAATTACATAAGCTAGATAGAAACCATTTACATAGTAAAAAGATCAAATATTCCGAACAAGAATAAAGATTTTTTTATTTTATACATTTTTTTGTTTTTTAAGATAAAAATGCCAAAATAATTACATATCTAAAAGTATTAAACAATACGGGGGAGTGATGAACATTCAGACACTCCCTTTTCATACGTGGTGCATTTACCATAATTACATTGTCTTTACCATACATAGTAAATTTACATATTAAAAATCTGCAAAATATCTCAAGTTAACTACAAAACTGAAAGAGAGAACTGTAAAATCCTTAATAAACAACATCATCTGCAGTATCTTAATTCTCTGCAGCATACTTTGGAGATTAGTGTAATAATGCATGTTCCCAAATTAAGTTTTATCGTCTGTAGCTTTCAGTACATTAGCTGGTGTAATTACCTTAGAATACATGCTTATTTGTCGATGAACTTTACACATGCAATAATCTAGTAATTCATATTATTATTGAGGTAAATTGCAGTAGGTATATAGTGTATTGTGATGATGCGTAAAGGTGAATTCGAATCAAAGGTCCAGTCAATTAACCACGTAACGACATTTGGTAAAAGAGATAAGAAGGATGTTTTATCATTCAGTATGCCCAGCGGTACACACACACAGAACAATACCGCAGGGACAGTATAAATGATCGTATAGCACAGTGGATACCAAATTAACTTTGAAAACATTGTTGAAAACATTATTGGAACTGACTGACACATTTTACGATACTTTGAGGCTCGTTCTCGAAAACAGTGCAATGGAGAGAAAAATAAAATAGCTTCAAAGAAGGAGATAAATATAATGAACACAAAAAAATGCTCAAAAAACAAATAAGAAATGTCAAGACATACCAGGACAAGCGACACCACTATTATTACAATGTATGTAACAAATTGAAAGTGGTAGGATGCATCTTCTTTCAATAAAAGATAGAGTTCGTATATGAGACTAAATACTAGTAATAAAAAAGTAAAAAGATGATCTCCGCCACTTTTGAAAAGATTGAGAGGGCTCGTTAAATCTGTAGGTGTTTTTAGGTCCCAAGTTTTATCCATTGCAAATTTATCAAATATTTCTTTGGAAAAATGCTGACAGTTTTTATCGATAACATCGTATGTATTCGATTCTAATATTTTTCTCAGACGTCGGGCAATGTCAGTAACTGAAGAAGATGAGGAATCTTCGGCACGCAGGCATAAAGGTGTGGGACGGAGCTCTTCATGAGAGGAATACAAAATCAAATCTCTGCTTTTTGCCCAACTTGCAAATATACCATCCCTTGTTTTATCAAGTGCCCACCACATTCCATCACTTGTTACAAAAATCACAAACGCATGATAATCCACTAGAAGATATTGCTTTTGAAAAAAATTGCGAACGGGTGCTTTAGAACTAGAGAATGGAGCACTTAAAGGACTACTGTAGACTTCGATATACTCTAGAGTTGCTGTTTCAAAATAATAAGTGTTATCTCGGAAAACTTGTCCAACATTTTCATCAGTGATTTGTTGGGTCCTGACAGTCTCAAATGTAGGTTTTTCGTTTACATTCAAATTATCCATTCTCCGTTTCTTGAGACAACCTTTATTGTTCATACCCTTCATATCACCAGTAATCAAAAAAATAAGAGAAAACATCCCTAGCATAATCGATGACAGTAAAACGACTTCGAAGCACTTCCGAAAGACGTGATAAAACTTCAGATTATCGACAGGATCATCTTCAAATGTAGTAAATAGCTTGGGACACAGCGAAAAAACAAACCATTTCAGGAGCCCTGATGGTACGGCACGGGAAGGGTCGTCATCTTGTACTGCTTCCATCTCCTGTGGTATTTCACCATCTCTCGGCGGGTCAGACATCCTGGGACATTATAATATTATTTACTGAATCTTATTTTCTCATACTTACAGTTATTGGAGATTGGACTTAACCCCTTCTCCAATCATTGGAGAAGGGAGTAACATATTGCTCAAGCAGTGATCGCCACATTTGTTGTTAATTGATCTAAAATCATTCAATACATATTGTGATGTCGGTTTCTGGAATGCAAAGCTAGATTTGCATGTTCCACATTTTATTGGCTCATTTTGTGCCGAATTAAAGCCTAGATTTGATCTATCGCTGCCTATAAAAAGCAATACCCCATCGCAAAATCATTTAACAGTCTGTTTCAAAGGAATAAATTATAATTTGGCAAACTGGAAAAAAATGTTGAACATGCTGAGCCTGAGGTAAAAATCCTGAAATAATTGATTAGAAAGCAAACATTTATAAACACCTTTACTATAGTTTGTATCAAGATCTCATAAACTTTATTACATTCTCAAAGATACAACAACAACGTAATGCATAAAATTTCCGAAAAACTCAATTATAAGGATAACAGCTATTATCTAACAAAATATATAATAAAATTTGACCTAAAGGAATAAATTACAGAATGTCCCCTTAAATTATCACAGTCAGAACCACCAAAAGTATCTAGTCAAGTTTCAATGGCTCCCACGCCCTAGTCCTCTCTTTAAAATACTCCTCCACCATCTCTTCTGTCACTTCCTCAATCTTGGCAGGATTCCAGACAGGCGCGTTATCCTTGTCAACAAGCAGCGCTCGCACACCCTCCGTGAACTCGCCACTCCGCACGATCTGATGCGCGGCTCTGAACTCCATCGCAAAGCACTCCTCGTAAGATTTGGAGGGTGCAATGGAGAGGAGCCTGTGTGTTATGACAAGGGACCGGGGTGACATGCGCTGTAAACTTTTCACTAGTTTCAGGGCAAAGTCCGAACCATCCTGTTCTAAACGTGACAAGATCCCCGCCACAGAATCCGCAGAAAAGCAATGTTTTATCAGACTCTCGTGTGGGTCTAACGAGAAAGGAGCCGGGGCCTCAACCTCATGTTTCTGTAAAATATCTCCAATAGAACTCCGATCACTGGTCAAAATATCAGCTTTTAGAGCTGGTAACTTCTCAGCTGTCGTGTAGTGTGTGGCTATTCCCATGTGTTTCAGGTCAGCTCCTCTCAACCGGTGTCCGGTCAGTCCTAGGAACATTCCGTACGGTTGTGGGAGACGTGATAGGAAGTAGGATCCTCCCACATCTGGGAAGTACCCGATAGCTGTTTCCGGCATGGCATAGAGAGACTTGTCTGTGGCGACACGATATTTGCCGTGAACTGATAACCCTACCCCTCCTCCCATGGTTATACCATGAATGAGCGCTACATAAACTTTAGGGTACGTCCCAATCATATGGTTCATCTGAAACTCATCATGAAAGAAGTTCAGAGCCACACTCTCCACCTGCTCCTTAGTGATGGACACAACATCACCTCCCGCACAGAACGCTTTAGTCCCCGCTCCCTCAATACACACAACCTCCAGGTCCTCCCTCCCCCGCCATTCCACCAGCTTACCGCTGATCTGTTGAACCATGTTCTCGTTTACAGCGTTCAGGGCTCGCTGTCTGTCCAGGGTGATGAGCCCGACACGACCAGAGTCCTGGAAATGAACTTCGGAGCTCATAGCTCTGGTCAGGTGGTGGAGTGAGAGGAAACCGGGGCGGAGGAGGCTCGGTACTCTGTATGCCATGTACCCTGGGTGGGGGTTAGAGGTGAGAGTTGGGTTGTGAGAAGGTAGAGTTGGGTTGTGAGAAGTTAGAGTTGGGTTGTGAGAAGTTAGAGTTGGGTTGTGAGAAGTTAGAGTTGGTTGTGAGAAGTTAGAGTTGGGTTGTGAGAAGTTAGAGTTGGGTTGTGAGAAGTTAGAGTTGGGTTGTGAGAAGTTAGAGTTGGGTTGTGAGAAGGTAGAGTTGGGTTGTGAGAGGTTAGAGTTGGGTTGTGAGAAGTTAGGGTTGCGTTGGGCTTGAGAAGTTAGAGTTGGGTTGTGATAGCTTAGAGTTGGGTTGTGAGAGGTTAGAGTTGGGTTTTGAGAAGTTAGAGTTGGGTTGTGAGAAGTTAGAGTTGGGTTGTGAGAAGGAAGAGTTGGGTTGTGAGAAGTTAGAGTTGGGTTGTGAGAAGTTAGAGTCTAGTTGGTTGTGAGAAGTTAGAGTTGGGTTGTGAAAAGTTATAGTTGGTTGTGAGAAGTTAGAGTTGGGTTGTGAGAAGTTAGAGTTGGTTGTGAGAAGTTAGAGTTGGGTTATGAGAAGTTAGAGTTGGGTTGTGAGAAGTTAGAGTTGGGTTGTGAGAAGTTAGAGTTGGGTTGTGAGAAGGTAGAGTTGGGTTGTGAGAAGTTAGAGTTGGGTTGTGAGAAGTTAGAGTTGGCTGTGAGAAGTTAGAGTTGGGTTGTGAGAAGTTAGAGTTGGGTTGTGAGAAGTTAGAGTTGGGTTGTGAGAAGTTAGAGTTGGGTTGTGAGAAGTTAGAGTTGGGTTGTGAGAAGGTAGAGTTGGGTTGTGAGAAGTTAGAGTTGGGTTGTGAGAAGTTAGAGTTGTGCTGTGAGAAGTTAGAGTTGGGTAGTGAGAAGTTAGAGTTGGGTTGTGAGAAGTTAGAGTTGGGTTGTGAGAAGTTAGAGTTGGGTTGTGAGAAGTTAGAATCGCCGAGTTGGTTGTGAGAAGTTAGAATTGGTATGACACCTTGAATGCTGGCATTTCAGTGATGTACGAATAATGACAATGTGATTATCTTCAATGCAAAGAAAATGGTTCAAAATTTGCGTGTCGTGTTCGAAGAGAAATTGATTATCATTTGTACTTTGTATTTGTATTACTCATAATAAGTTGAGTTTCAAGCACTGGATAATTAAAACAACAATCTCAATATAAAAACGGCATCAAATAATCAAGGTATAATTATAGTTACGGGTATATATTTTGATAACATTGAACGATTCTTGCAGAATATAATTATAGCGTAGTTTGATACGATTCAACATATCATTACTCAGAAAATATCATTATTAGATATTTGTGTACGTGAAAACTCGTTGATAAAATCAAACCTACGTTTCAAAACCGTGTGAACGTGATAAATTATAAAAAGGTTCGAACAATACGGAATCTCAAGGAAAGAGATTATAATTCATAAGTTTGCAAATAAAACAAACAGACACCATTTTGTCAAACACAAAAATCAAAACTCGAAAATAAAATTCAGTTAACAGGCCGGTAGTCAGTTTTCGAATGTCTAACAGGCTGTTCCATGAGATGTTTCTGGGTTGGTGATCCCAAACTCAAAGTCAACAACGTTGGTAATTTGTAGAATAAGCAGATCAGCTTTCCTCTCCTTCAGCTCAGTCTCACTCTCTTTGAGATTGTCATCTTTCAGTTCTTGGAGGAACTCGTCTTCAGAATCCTCACTTTCAATCTCTTTGATCAGTTCCAATACGTCCAACACTCTGGATTCGCTGATCTTTAACTCTTCTAAAACCACATCTACATCCAAATCGATAACATTTTGAGATACAAGCTTAAGGTCGACTAGAAGTCCGAAAATCTGATTCACCTGGAGAGCAATACCCTCGAATTCCTCAAAATCTTTCTCCTTAACCATCTTAACTAAATCATCCCGGAAAAGTTCCAGCAGCAACACATTTTCTTGTAATATCAGAGAATGAGGGTCTTGACCGTTCAAGTTACCCCAACGTTGGAATTGTCCTGCATCAAGAGTTCTCTCAACTCGACCCGGTTCAAAACTCTCAATGCTCACATTAGGGTACTCAACATGATGAGTGAGAGGGATATCTGCCAGATCAAAAGTTTCCTCGAAGCTCATAGGACTGCCTCTGTCACTGCCTACCGTCTCCTCACCAGTGACATCATCCTCACCAAACCAGTTATCAAGCTCCTCTGGATTATCGATCAGGTATCTGAAGTTGTACGGTATATCAGGCTTTCTGCTCTTTTTAGGCCGATCACTAACGACAGGTTTGACTTGAGGTTTGATAGGTTGAGGAGGAGGAGGTTTCACGTACCGACAGGGAGAAGCTGGAGGGGTGTTAGGGTTGAGCGAGGGGAAACCGGTTGCTGAAGCTCCAGAAAAGTTGTTACTACTACTACTCTGGAATATTCCAGAGTCCTGCGTGGTTCCACGAGCCACCTCACGTGACGTCACGTGATTAGCAGGGCGTTTAGTGGGAACATGGTCTTCTGATTTTACTGTAGACTGGCTGCGGGATGATCTTGGGGTGTGGTACGAGTCTGAGTTCTCTGAAACACTCTTGTTCTGTGAAGCAGTCTTCTTATCGAGATTATTAAGGCTGGAACCCGCACCTCGACTGTTTCTCCCGGCTCTCTCTAAATGTAGTGATCGTAGCATGGAGTTAGTAGGTTCCAGCTCCACCACCTCCACCTCTTCAACATCAGACTCAACACCTTCTTCACCCCTCTCCGAGGTCATGTGATCAAACAGCTGACGGAAACTAGACGACAGTCTAGTCGGGGTAGAGTAGAATTTGGTGATGTCGTCGAGCTTTGAGTCGTGCTGTTTGACGTCATCAAACGTGGCCTCCTCCATCGGGTCCCGCTTCAGACGGCACGAGTCTTCAGCCTCGTTAGTGGTGGGGTCTACACGGAGAGAGCGTGTCAGTCGTACCTGGCAAAACAAACTGTGTTCAGAAAGTGGAAATAAGAATTTGTTTGTCTGATTGTTATAGTGACGGATGCAACAAATTTGGCAGTCAATTGTATCATGATATTCATGTAGACAAGATTAATGAGCTGTGATGAACGACACGCGTGTTAATTTAAATACATAAAACCGGTGTATAATGTACATATTATTTGAATTCAGTTGAAACCAGATGACTGTCATATCACTGATTTAGAATAGACCCTGTACTGTTTCAAAATATTCAAGGACCTATCATATATAACCAACCTCTTCGCAGTTGTCCTTGACAGCGTGAAAGAGTTGACAAGAAGTTCTAGAAAGTTCATTGCTGTAATCCCTGGAACTTGTAGACGGCGTGTTAAGGATATCCTTGAGGTTTATACCTAACTCTGTAGCTTTCCTGTGACACAAAATTGGTACTTTCACACGTGTAATTATAATACTTTTGTTATTGTTTTTTTAAAGTTCTTTGGATGGCTGATGATTTAAGTAGTACCTAACGTAACGAATTCTCATCTTCGGATGAGTCAAGCTGGTTTAATAACCTGAGAAGAACTGAGATTCGGGCTTTGAGACGACTATCTTCGTCCTCCTCGTTCTTCTCTCTGGATACCCTGATAGGAATAGTGGTTCCCTTCACGTGCAACGAACCCAGCTGAAATAATCGGTTGTCAATGATAACACTGGATTATTGACTTAAGATATAAACCTTGGGATCATCTCGCATTATATGTATAAATGTATACTTTATGTACATATATTATATATATGATTGTTTACTTGTAATTATTCAATTGAGATGCTGAAAAATATAGTTCATAATATGCATCAAACAATCTTCACTAGTCACGTACCTGTTTCATCTGCTCAAAGTCATCAGCACTCTGCGGGGTTACAAAGCCAAAGCGGGTATTATCATTAACACGCTGGCGAATAGTCACCCTGATGGTGCTGATCCTGTAAACTGCGAGCGCTTTCTTGATGTCATCTTCTCCTACGTTACTGGGCACTGCGTTGAGGAAAAGGTCGCGTTTCTCGAACTGGGTCCCCACCATCCGCGGTTCATCTCTGAGAATTAATCAATAGTTATTCGTCTGTAATGCTTCTGAATAGCGCAGGTTAAAAGCAATCATCTGTCAGGCATCAGTGAAGATAATGCGGACAGATTGAAAGTTTCGATCTACATTTTTTAACTGTCCGAATTAGTTATTTATGTCTGAACTAGATCTTGTAGGTAATATTGACTAATAAGAAATGCGTATTAACTCCCAGGAACTATTGATTAATTAGATCTATTTAGATTGTTTGCAAATTACTGCATCAACATTCCAAAAAAATTAACCATGCTGTCACACACAGAAATGTGAACACGAAACTAACGTACCGAAAAGCTGATGGTAACTTAATATCGAAAGTTAGCATCCATCTAAGTAGAACATTTTATGAGTTGTACGAGTAAAAAGTAAAATCCTTTCAGTTTTAATCCACTACTAACCCTTCCTATGAATTTTCACAGAAATCAAATATACTTTGTCCGTTTTGAGTTTATTCAAAAAATAAATATTGGCCGAACTTTTGCTTCACTCTTAGAATAAAACCTCGCGTTTAGAAACATCATTTTATGATGAGGGCAAAATGTTTGAGCAAATCAGGTACATTTTACCCATGTTTACTAAAAAATACTGCAGAAAAATATTCACTTCCACACAAAATGAGAGGCACATGAAAAACGAACTTAAAAACTGACCTATACAACTGGTGACGTGGCTGACGACTGACACTACGTGGAGTTGACCTGAAGTTGAGTGGTGCATACTTCTCACTGTATCTGGGCGGAAGTTTACTAATATTCACAGGATCTCTACACGGTTCTATTTTCTGTTTTGTGGGAACATAACACGGCTCAGCTCTCTCATTAGCAGACATGATGCACTGCTCAATTCTCTGTTTAGCAGCCGCGTGGTTAAAATGAGCCTGTGATGAGTCCAGCTTGCCATTTCTGTCAAACGCTGGTGGGCGGTAGGGAAGTTTCTTTGAAGTTCTCCGTTTTCGGGGCAGACGAGGCTCATCGTGGAATCTTCTGGGGGCTCCCAACATTTCGATAAAAGTTTAACAAAGCAAACCAGGCGAACACAGAAACAAATAAAATGCTGTTGGCAGTGAAATGAAGTGTGGTAAATGGAACTTGAACCCGTGGGTTGGGAGTTTAAAAAGTTACCTATTTTAACGAAGACTGCCATCTAACAAGGTTAGAGGACCTGGAACTTGTTACTAAAAATAGAATCGGGAGTATCCTGGCAGTGTACACTAAATTACAGTGTTTTACATGTTCCCTGTCCAAGTTCAGTCTTTTGATTCACTAATATAGTACCTGATGCTCCTGGGTGAAACGAAGCCACATTCTTCCAAAATAAATCGGCTGTTACGATGTTAATAAAATTCGGGGCTGTTGTGATGTTAATCGAATTTAATTCGGGGATATCAAATTTCGAGCCTCAATGTTGCATCAACGGTTAGCAGAATAAACTAAGAAGTGTCGACACTGTCACAAATTAAAGTTCAGCTGAAATTGGTTTCACAGTTCAGTAAATCTAGCTTTTGAAGCACGTCACGTCGTCACTGGAGTATGACTTCAATTTTTATCGCATGAATGCCAATGACAACGAGAGATAGGCAAGGAGCCGGTTATCGATCGTTTTATTGACGATCAGCATCTACCGTCTATAGTTGATGTACGAATTCGTCAAGTAAGCTAAAATTAAAGAAAATATGACTATGTCCGATGTTAACTTGTGGTACTGAATGACTGGTTAAACAGACAAAAACTTTTTATCGACACTGGAATAGCAGGTCATCGATAGCGCTCGATTTTGAGTCTGTAAATAATACGACACGACAATGGATAAAAAATATTGTCTATTGTGCGCGGCTTAATTTTGTTACAATATTTTCGTAATAAGTTTTTAAAATATGTACTTAAATTTAGATTGTACATTGTTCCATTGATTATTTGTTTAATTTTATTAAATATTTAGAAGTGAGCATACCATTAATCACGAAAAAAAGTTAATACAATACAAAATTAAGTTCATTAAGTTTAAAATTTTTGTTTAATCATAATAAAATTAACTTTAGCTGTAAATTAATTTTTATTTAATATTATGTTGTTATTGTTAATTTTTGATTTACAATGAAATCGATTAAAAGCAGTAAATAGAAATGTCATAAATTAGGAAAATTTGGGAAATGATTGCGCGTTGTGAGCCGCGCATTATGAACCTTGTAAGGAATATTAGTACACACATTTTTGTACAACCTGAATCGAGCGCTACCTAGTCGAAGTTCAAAAACATTGTGAGTTTCATGAATGCCGTTCCGATCGTGTAGAGTATGCCAGCAAATTTTGTTGACGATAGTTACCAAGCTCAAGAAGGTTTCGATCCTTGCTTTTTACCTGTTTTAATAAAATATGCTGTTTCCACCCTCTAACTTACATTTTGTTCGAGCATTCATCTAGTTTCTACAGTTCATTTAAAGCAGTACTCTTTGGTGTAATCTGCTGCATACGTCTTTTAAATCGCTTAATAAAACTTCGTACCTTTCATCATTTTTGTCGAGTTTGATAGTTAGAAAATGCAAATTTTTCTTGTGAATACTGAATGTCAGCTGGGCCTTCTGTTTTCTTGTGAATACTGAATGTCGGAATTATACATAGAATTATTGCTTTGTTCAAATTATGTAGGCTTTTGTTTTACTGTGTTGTGTCTTGCCCAACTAGTTTAAAGCCCCTAATTATATTATATTAAGTTTTAAATGCTTCTAGAGTATGAACTATGAAACCATGTGACAAAGTTACGCAAAGTGCAAAGGAAAATAAGATATCAGGGAACTCATTTTCAGTTTTGACATCATTTTGTCTGCAATTCAACAGCTCCATCTCGATAGGAGTAGCAGCATTTCTGTAGACAAGTACATTGTTGAAGAAAGTGTCACAACAGAATTATCTTCCTTCAGGAATGATAATATTGTCATGGCTTCTTCTGAATAAAATAGCCGTTGGTTCAAACCATGCTTGCGACCTGCCATTCATTAAGAATGGTCAGTGTGAGAGTGTAGGGGATTACATTCATGTCAAATGTGGTGTTGGTTACAAACTTACTGGTACCAGTCAGATACCCTGTCAACTTCGTGAGTATTGCACTTCATGGCTTTTAAAAACTAAATTTTAATCTATGGTCTTATACAATTCGAATTTTGTACATTAAAATGTCTCTAAAATCTGAGGTGTTAAACTACTTCTAATTTGCAGGAAAAGATAACTATTCCAATCTCCCATCCTGTGAACCTATTCCTTGTCCACTTCCTCTCAGTGCAAAGGACATCATACCAGACTTTGTAGACAACAATGTTTCTTACATCCAGCCAAACCACAAAGTAGAACTAAACTGCAAATCAGATTACATCGCTCCCACACACAATGCAACGTGCATAACAAACAGTACGTTCTCAGAATGGCCTTTACCTGTTTGTCAGACAAGAAGCTGTGTTCATAATGCCATCAAAAATGGCCAGATAACCTCCCAGCATCTTGCCCCAAACACTAAAGTTCTCATTGAATGTGACGAAGGGTTCAAAAGAGATGAAAGACTCAGCGATATAATCTGTATCTCCCACACATTGTTTTCAGAAGACTTGAACGCGGTATGTCAAGCAGTGCCTTGTGCTGCACTTGAAGTTCCCAATGGGTACAGTCTCAGTAATATTACCCAGCCTGGGAAAGAGTTGAGGTACAGATGTGACTCAAATTATGATAAAGACTTGCAACCTGTTTATTGTAAGTCTGGTCACAAATTTTTTGGTGATACTGCGCCGAAGTGTGAGCCCAAGAACTGTTCAGCAAGGAATATTGAGAATGGTGAACTAATGCTGGCCAAGCCGAGGGAAACAGTGAACATACTCTGCAATGACGGTTATGAGATGGAACAGGATATTCAACTGACCTGTATTTCTAACAACGTTTTCTATCCTGAAGAATTGCCCCGCTGTAGAGGTAAACTATTGAGCAAATTTAATAATTAATAAAGAATTTGAGTGAAAAGTTTTTCCTTGTTTCGACTCATATCGAAAGTGAGCAAGGGATCCGTTTGAGCATTTGTAGCGGCTAAACGAACATAATATAATGCTAATTATGTTGAGCTGCAAATTATGGCTTTTTAATCATTTCGATATAACCCCAGAAAAGAGCTGCATACCTCCAAACATTGCAAACGGAGAGAAGATCGACTTTGATAATAGTGAATCCATACGACATGGCTCGTCCATTACAATCAAGTGTGGGACCAACTACAGACAGAGCGGCGCTAGTACCATCTTCTGTAATAAGGGGGAGTACAAGCCCTCAGCTCCTACCTGCGATGGTGGGTGTTTCGTTATCAGTTTCTTATCTGATGTGTAGTACTCGAGGTTGTGTGTAGGTTAAAAATGTTATGAAAATTCTGATCTAAGAATTCTTGAAATCATTATTATATTATCCTTGAAAGGGGTGTTTTATTAAACGATTCTTATCACAGCGATGCCTTGTCACCTGCCTCTCTCAAAGCTGCCCCACGTCCAGTACCTGAATGAGATGCGGGTCTACCCAGAAAAGAAGAACTACGAGCTCAGGGCCGGTTCTGTGATCCAGGTTATCTGCAACGAGTCTTACTCCCTAGACAACCAAACTGTGGTCACTTGTATCTCACAGAACATAATTGATCCTCCACTACTGCCTAAATGTATCCGTGAGTAGTTGATTATTTTGGTTTGTTTTCTGTGTTGTAATTTTCGGAATTGGGTATTGGAGTTATAAATAGTGAGTTGCATATTCAAATTTAACATCGAAATTTTAACATTACAATTGATGTAATAGTATGCACATTATAAATACTACTATAAATATAATACACATTGTTTTGTGAATTTTAACTGGTATTATGACAAACAGTGACATTTATGAAATGTACAAGTTACCCCTAATTTAATAAAACAAAAGGTTTGGCCCAGCCCATTCTCAAAGTAAATTGCGGCATCTCCTCGCAACAATGACCCACTCCAATTATACAGCCCGTCATATTTTCTGACTAGGTGGACACGTAACTAATACTCCACAGACAGCCTAATTGAGAGCCATCTGAAACACACGGATGGTATCTCCAGGAAACACATGTCACCTTATTAACGCGGACCCTTCAAAGATATCGGCTCTTTGTTTTAATTGGCACATCCTGGGTGTGTGCCGGACTGTGCTGCTGTTAACGAGTAACTACTCCTTTTATAGGCCTCAGCTTTAATGTTTATACTTCATGATATATATATAATGTACACACTACTCATTCGTGTGATTTAGTTTATAATTATTTTGAGCCGTGTAGTTGGGATGACAGATGCAATAAAAGAGACACAGAAATACCATTAAACAGTCATAAGATATGAACAATTTATATAACACCAAAGTAAAAACATTCAAACGATGTACATAATATATATACAAATTAGTATCAGTAGCGGTATTTGTCCAACTATAAGGTCAGACAACCATACCGTTCAACACAGTCACTCTTCAGATATAAGAAAATAAATAAGATCTCGCTACCCAAAAGAAGTTGGGGTCATCATCAACCTCTCATCAATCTGGTGTTAAGTTTTTAGCAGTTCAAATCTTAATATCATCCTAAAAGTTGATGTGGAGTCTGAATATCTCTTGTGTTGGGTTGTACTTTAAAACATCTGATTTTGACTAATTTAAACTGCAAATGGTCATCAAAATTAGTCACTGCATCCCCCCAGCCCTCCAACAAGGAACAGAAAATAATGAAGATTAAACAGTCCCAAACAAGAGATTGAACTATAAACACTGACTCCTTTTCTATTCAGTAAATAACTATGATCTCACATGTGAACTCGAATATTTTCCAGTCCCACGAATAATTTCCGAGGTTTTGAGAAATATGCTTCCAGAAGATTCTTCCACTGTTTAGTAGATCTGCGAATGACATTTGGGGTCATAATGATAAATACCACCGGATTTGCTGCTGACAAAAAAGGTGGAATCAGTCCAAAGATTACGAAGAGCATCCCTTGAAAAGAGGGTGTGAATCGTCCGTCCTTGAGCACCACAAGGAATAAAAAGGAGGACAGGCAAGCAAGTGTCATCAGAACATTACCGCTGTTTGTCATGATGATTTTAATTGATGTTCTAGTTTTGTTGTAATGGCGTCGGGGAGCTGATTTTGATAGTTTTTGGGGTGAAGGCTTAAGAAGATGTAGAATTGTCAGGGCGGACACAACAATTGAGACTAACTGTGCTATTACATAGGGCCACTCCGAAAACAGATGGGACAAGATGAAGTACTTCATGGGATGGAAGTATCCCAGGTTTATCACGGAAAGTGTTGTGTAATCGTAGATTGCATTCTTGTCAAAGTACAGCAAACAGTAGATGGCGTAGATGTACGTGATGCTGATGACCGGGAATCCTAGACACACTTTCAGCTTCATTTCCTGGAACGGTCTCACTATCTTGATGTACCTGCACACAACCAGGGTGGCCGTCAAACAGCTGGGAAACACAGCAAATCCCCGGAGTAGCGTGGAGAGAAGCCGATCACTTGTACTGGGGTCATCGTGGTAATCACAAAAGAAGAGGAACCTAAGATCCGGACCACTGTTAATGGGCCCGTACTCTGGCCTGTCCCGACACTTGGTGTCCTCTCTTCTGCCTATCCTAACCACGCTGTTTGTACAGAAAATGAGGGTGGTAAAAAAGTCACAGGCAGCCAGGGTCCGGTACAAACAAGCGGGGACTGACTTGGTGCGCTTGTTGTTGTACAGAAACACAATGGGGTTTAGGATGGAGGAAATTAGGAGGATTGAGATGAACACCACGACTACAAGGTTGTCAGGGAACGAGTCGATACCTTCGCTGAACAGTGCCATTCTTCTGAGGAAATTATACGATAGGTTAGAGGTGTGTGACGAAGGGAGTTTGTGGTATGGCTCTACAAAATTCTGGGCCTCGACACCGAATTCAACGCCGAAAGTTTTTTGAGAAGCTTAGAAATTATGAGGAACGAACATCACCCGTGTCCTACGATTAATCACGCACCAGCAGTGCGCCTGAGGTTTCATCTAATAAGCTAATGAAATGCAACTCCACCATATTATCGAACACTCGTGAAATGAGTTTCAATCTCGTTCTGAAATTTACAGGAAGTGGTCTTTAAATTCGGGACATGTGACTGCATCAAGCCTCTTCAATAAGTAGATTAAAAGCTCGTGTATCAAAATACGCTAAATACTAAAACAAAGTTGTGAATTGTGGCGACACAACATTTGTATCAGATCGTTCTATTGCACGCCAGGCGCCAGCATTAATTATAACAACTTGATTTGATGGAATGCTTGAAAGCAGTCAGGCATATTCAAACTTCAAGAACAAAGAAGTACTTTCAGTAAAATCACAATAAGTTGAATTATCATCAGACTGATTATGATACAATCAGTATTATTCTGTTACAGTGTACCATATGTCTGATTCAATAGTTTAGATAACTACAGCCCGCGACATAATATACTGGTATCCACGTTAAACTCAATACAAATACAACTTCATAGAATGATGATATCAGAAAACAGCCAATATGGGAATTGGATGGGCCATAATGAGCAATATAATCAATAAATGAGTATCATTACAAAGTGTAACACTGTCTAAAATGGGAGGAGGAGGGAAGGAGGGGGAGGAGGAGGAAGAGGATGGGGAAGAGTAGGAGGAGGGGGGAGAAAGAGGGGGGGGGGGGAGGGGGAGTAGGAGTTCGCACGGTGACCTGTGTCTGTTCCACAAACCGTAACAGACCAAGACAAACAGTGTCCTCCCACCAGGACAACTATTAATTCCAATATTACTCTCGTCGTCAAGTTGTAGATTAGCTGAGGTACTTCACCTCTCAGATTCTTCAAAGAACACACAGTATTACCTACTCCTACTACTACTACTACTACTACTATAATTCCGTGTTATGTTGGCCATGCTGCATGTGATGATGAAGATTCTCCGGGAAATGTAATCTAATTATTAATACAACCCGACAGTATTAACAGTGGTATTATCATTATTCCTGGTAGATGATTTCCTGACCAGACAATCTGCTGATTGGCCGCCCCCACGTGTTTACCACGTGTTTACTACAGATTGTGGTGTTTTCTCGGCAATAAACACCAGATAAGGTGTTTGTCAAAATGATCATCATATGATTGTGATTTATTGATAAGTCATATGGTGTTTCTCTAACTGTTTTATCATCTGATTGTGATATTATAATGATAAGGTGTTTACCAAATTATTTAATAATCTGAGGAATAACGTGTCCTCTTGAGACCCTGATAATTCCCACAACTATCTTGTCGACATCAGTTTAACATGATTAGATTAAGCTATAATAGGCGGTGTTTTCCCGTTCACACCAACACCTTATTATCTTATTATCTCATTAGGAGCTCACCAAATTAATATCAGGATCCATATTCCATTTAACACCGTGGAGTTGCAATAAAAACAAGATTGATCAATGATCAGCTACCAAGTCATAAGAGTTGATAATTTTTCTTGAATTATCTGAATTATAGCTGTGACCCTGGGACATAGTTTAATCCGTGTAGTTAGTGAGAATCATGATAGGGCAGGGCTTCTTCAAACACCCAATTAGAGCCATTACCACCACCAGTGCCCAATAATTACATCTAAACATTTGGTCACGTGCTCAGTTAATGTTGAGACGCCTCAGGGCTTGGCAGCATTTTAGACGTGCTCCTCTTGGCCAATTATCCCATATAAGGAAGTAATTAACCTCAGGTCTAAGCTACTCAACATCCTCATCCAATGGCAGCGCCTTTATTAAGTCTATTGTCCAAATTCAAATTGTCCCGCGCAGTGCTGAGCCAATGCTATGTATCACAGTGGGAGGGGGCCGGGGGGGGGGGTCGTTAGAAGTTAGTCGTCGCCCTTTCCCCGGTGTAGACCGCAGCCGTGATGAGAGGGTGTTCGAAGTGGTTAATTAGGTTGGGAAACACTGGTAAAGGCATATGATCAAGAGTGGTGTTGAGTGGGTTGACATGAGACACCTTTCACGGTTGGGGCGGCGGTGTAACTCTTAAACTCTTACTGGTCCCTATAATTGTACTGTTATAATAGTCATCACTTCTGTGAGGTGTACTGTGAGGTGTATAGTGATTAGTGTATATTGTATACATTGTATAGTGAAGGTAAATTTCACTTACTTACAAATTCTCTTTTTTCCCTGGCAATTTGTGTAAACAAAACAAGTTTAACACAATTGATGTCCTGCTTAGCTAGGAGCAGCTCCTTCGATGCTTGCAGAAATTATATACTTTCAGTGGTGGCCACTACTTGCCGGTCAATTAGTTGCATTAAAATTCATGTGTTCAAACAAATCCGGGGCTTTCCAAGAACAATTTTTTAATAAATTCATCTTATTTTAAGAATTACATTAAGAATTTTACTTCAGAACCTGCTTAGAAATTCAAACTTTTCGCTTGCGAGCTGGGCGAGCTGAGATGTTGCATAATTTTTATTGGGCTCCTGGAATACGGCCCTAGTTGTCATAGATACGGCCCTAGTTGTCACAGTTTCAATCTTGGTAGGGCCTAGTAGGGACTTGCAGATTGAGGAATATTGAAATATATCTATCCTTATTTCACCAGACTGGCCTTCAGTATTGTATCA